CGTTGAAAAGTGCCCCACCGCGAAAATCTCCCCCACCCTACCCTCACGTCGTTCCAACGTGCATGGAATTACACCACCTACAGTTAGATGCACTCCTTGATATTGAAGACCTAGCCACAGTGGGACCGTCCCCGCCTGGGAATTAACACTTGGGACCCCTCTCAGAAAATTTTGCCCTGCAAAATTTAGATTTAAAGTTTGTTGTTATATCCAACAAAATGGTTACCACTTTGTTGTGCACTAAACGTCAACTTTCCCCTCCCCTTTAGTACTCCCTGGCCCATGGGCGTACGAGAAGGAAAAAAATAGGGGGGCGGAAAGAAATTTGCCCGACTTTTTCGGATCGTGCCCGCGTTGTCAAAAAAATTTTCCGGAGAAACTTTCCAAAAGTGTTGTCGACGGCGTGGGGGGGTGATTACGAAAAATTCTTATTAGATAGCATTTCCCACAAAATTGACAGAATTTGTCCCATTTATTTTTATAATAAGCCAATATTGCCCGACTGTGAAGCGAATATTGCCCGACTGGCTTTGTTTGCCCAACAAACTGGGGGGGGACTGCCGCCCCCTCCGCCCCCCCCTCCCCCGCCCGGTACGCCCATGCCCTGGCCTCAAAATGTGTTAGTCAAGCTGTCCCCCTCCCCTAAGGTTTTCTGGCACCACTGGGCCACTGGCTACGGCTCTGGTTTCTATATTTATAGGTTAGTTCAGTTCAGCTAAAGTAATTATGCCATTCCCTCTCGTCCTATGTGGCTGATAGTCGTCTCGGTGCTACGCACCTATCAACTCAAATACGACTCGAACTCTTAATATAATTGCTAAATAGTTTGACACCCAAAAGTAGCGCCCTTTTCCCAGCAAGTTGCGAACTTCTGAAAGTAGCGATTTCCAGTAGCGGATAAAACCGGCATTCGAAGAGGGCGCTACTTTCAGTATTCAACCACAACCTATATACACCGCAAAGCAACCGTGCAACTTTCAAACACAAAAGCGACTACAGTGGGTTTCAGGACATGAATTTAGCACATCTTCAGCTGATTGGCTCTTGATGTGACTGGGGAGTCCGTGGCGTAAGCAATTAACCTTTCTGGCGGCCGATTTCCCGCCACTTTTGGAGTACTGCCTCTCCCACGTTTGAGAGTCTCCGCACCACAAGATACAACTTTTCAGTATTATTATTATTTATTATTATTATTATTATTTAATCTTATTTACACACATATACAACGGTAGCCCTTCAGCAAGTTTATCTACAGTTCCTTGTAGCTGATTTTCAAGGGGCCGTTGATTAATAATAAGGGAAGAAAATAATGAAGATATACGAATATGTATATATATATAAATATAGCACACAAATAATCCCTCCCCCTTCCTTCACTCAGTACTCCCACCCACCCTTATAATAAAACATTAAAAACTTTAACAATCTATGTTTGTCTGTCTCGGAGCAGCGCTTTAAATCTTGTTAATGTTATACCATTATCTTTAAGTTCTGTTGGCAGTTCATTCCAAATCTTTACTCCTGAGTAGCCGATACTTTTTTTAAGAAAATTAGTTTTAGGCTTTTTTATCGAAAAGTCACAATCGTTATTGCGTAAATTATAATTTTCATTATTTTTCACATTAAAGATATCAGTAATTGTTGTCAGGCATTTGCCATTTTTGGCTTTGTACATAAAAACTGCCTTATTCTCTCTCCAATTTTCTATCAGTGGCTGCCAGCCTAAGGCCTGTAAAATAGTCTCGGACCTAACTTCGTACGACCTACCAGTAATGACTCTTGCAGCCCTGTTTTGCATTTTCTGCAGCTTTTCAAGCGAGTAAACATTACCAATGTCCCAAACAAGGCTACAGTAGTCAAAGTGAGGTTGTACTATTGCATTATAAACTGAAATTAATGTTGACTGGGGTACAACATTTTTCATTCGTCGAATTATGCCTATGGCCTTTGATACCTTGGTAACGACGTTATCTATATGTGCATTCCATTTTAGCTGATCATCAATAATGACACCTAAAGTTTTTGTTTCTTTCACTCTTTTTTTATTACAATTTCCTAATTTAACTTCTGGATCACCTTCAATTTTGCTAATCCGTTGCCTAGACCCGGCTGTCATATATTCAGATTTGTCCTTATTGAGAGTTAATTTATTGGCCAATAACCAGTGATGTATATTTTCTAAATCATTGTTTAATTTTGTTTGGATGTCTATAGTCGAGCACCCGCTTGCTGTCAGATTAGTATCGTCTGCAAACAAACTGGCTGTAGTCGTTCTTAAACAATTAGGCAAGTCGTTTATATAAATAAGAAAAAATATTGGGCCTAAATTTGAACCTTGTGGTACACCACAACGAATTATTCGAGGTTGGGATGTCACTTGATTTACTTTACACATTTGTTTTCTATTCGTTAAGTATTGTACTTTTTTGTATAATGGTACGTTCACAGTTACAACTTTTAAAAGTCGCCTTTCACATGCATAGTTTGAATTGTCTACAATCTTTCACGAGGGCAGACAGTACCCCCATAAGCGTACCGGGCGGGGGGGGGGCGGTAGCCCCCCCAGTTTTTTGGGCAGTCGGGCAATATTCGATTAATAGTCGGGCAATTTTGGTTTGTTATAAAAATAAATCGGACAAATTCTGTCAATTTTTTCGAAAATTTAGTCAATTTTGTGGCAAATGTAGTGTTTTTTTGGGAAATTTATGTGATGCTCCGAAAAATTTTGGTATGTCCGGAAATTTTTTTTGACCCCTTAAATGGTACACTGACCGAAATTTTTTTGGCGACGGGGGAGGGGGAGGTCGCCAAAATAAATTTTCCGGGAAAAATTTTTTGGTACTAGTCGGGCACAACCACGAAAAGTCGGGCAATTTTACGAAAAGTCGGGCAATTTTCTTTCCGCCCCCCCCTAATTTTTTCCTTCCGGTACGCCCATGACTGTACCCCCAAAATGGCGGATTTTGGCCCTCGTGAGAAAGGCTAATTGGTTAAGACTATCCTTAATTTCCGTCTATACAAATTTCTCATACCCGTAGCTAATGATATATTCCACGTAAAATCATTTACATGCGCTTCTTTAGCCACGTACCACTCCCCCTTTTTAATGTTGAGCTTAATTGTGTCACAGAACAAAGATCCATACAGAAGAGCCACTTAAGTCGGAAGCTTTGAAGTTTCTGTCCTCGCGCACGTCGCATTACGCATGTTGGCCGCCACTTTCCTAGCCAGTAAATGACATTTTCTGGCCGATGAACACGCTGTACTGGCTAGCTGCTCCGCCTTCTGGCCAGTAAGCTGCATATTTTTGCATAAAAAAACGAGGACTCGTTGCACTGCTGAGTGATCTTCACTGAGCTTACTTACTTACTGATTGTGCTATGAACAGTGAGTTTGACGCAATTTGATTGGTTGTTCACCTCCGGATCGATACCCTTGCACTATTCACCTCCGGATAAAAACAAAATGGTTTGCCGATGATGATGTGTGTATGCTCGAATAAAATGGGTGCGTATGTTCGAGTAAAATGGGCAAACACGCCTTGCGTAAACGACATGAAATAACTCAAATGTTGAGTGGCAGTGTAGCCACGAATATAATTTGCGAGCCTCTGTGTATAAGGCAACTATATCTACCTGAAAAACAGAACAAACTTCTACATGTACGTTTCCAGCGAATTCTTTTCGTCTTGTTGGCTACAGAGAGTTTCAGAACGTTGAAGTATTCATTATATTTTTCAGACGGTTGAATCGTGCAAAGAAGCCCGCAAATTGAGTAACATATTATATTCACATCTCTAATAAGGATGCTTTCCTCTGACTCTTCGGAAACAGTATCAGAAAGGTTCGACTCAGGCACCATGCACTCGGGAATAAATAATACCTCCCTATAAGTAGGACAATTTCCCAGGAGTGGGTCCAGCAAGGTGTTTCTAGGGGGTGCTAGGTGAAAGCCAAGTGTTTCTTTACAATTCTTTAGAGGGGGTGGGAGAGCATTCAAATGAATTGGCTTCCTAACAACTCGAGCGCCGAAGGCGCAATCTCCTTAGGGGTTTCAGGAGTATGCCCCCAGGAAAATTTTGAAAATTAGAACCCTAGAAATGCCATTTCCTGTGATATAGGTATCAAATTATGAGCTTCAGTTTTACAAAAATTTTAAAATTTTAAAAATCGTCAAATTCTAAGATCAAGATCGTGCAAATAATTAAGCTAGATAGCAGATAGCATCAGTAGCGTAGCCAGCCCGACGATTTAGTCCCGCTATGTAAATATTTTCGTGTTCATTGACTGTGAAAACAATCAATTTCTAAAGAAATGAATAATGACAATAATTTTGAATTTACATAGCAGGACTAAATCGTCGGGCTGGCTACGCCACTGGATAGCATATTTGCTGTAATCTCTTGCCCGCTTTATTTAATTAAAGTGCCTATGCATGACACAAAATTTCACCCCAAATGTTTATTATTGCATTGTAAAGATCATTTAAAATTGCTTAATAATTTCTTTGCTAGAAATTTGGTAACTTGCTTCCTTTTCAAGATATTCAACTTTGTTTCATATGCAAATATCACCGGTGTGACATCACATCGCATGATGACATTTTGAAAACGCAATATTTTACCTTGATAAAATATTTTTACAAACAAATACACAGGGTTAATTACCAGTTATGAAATTAATACATATACAAGGGCAATTTCTAAGTTTTATAGATACGTATTCGTCAAGAAAACTGTACTTTTCTGAAAATCATTATGTGATGTGATGTTACACCGGTAATATTTGCATATGAAACAAAGTTGAATATCTTAAAAAAGGAGCAAGTTACCAAAATTCTATAAACGAAATTATTAAGTCATTTTAAGTATCTTTACAATGCAGCCATAAACCTTGGGGGTGAAATTTCGTGTCATATAGGCACTTTAATTATTTAACTAGTTTCCAATTCCCCTTATGCATACGAAACGCATCACGGCCACACAGCATGTTACAACGGTTTGTTTCGAGAAGTACTTCACATAAGCTAGGCAATTTGTCGCCGCAACCTATCGCTGAATGAACTCATGTGACTTGTCGCCTGACTGTACATACGAAGCGATTTGTTGCAACAACGTGTTGCAGCGATTTTTCGCCTAGCTTGTACAAACCTTCAAAGCCCAGGATGTCTTTGCCTCGTTGATGTAAACAAAGAACGGCATTACTGCAACTCGACCAGGCATGAAATTAATGTATATTGACACTATCAAAATTGTTCGAAGTGAACATCCTACGTTTTATTTGTTAATTGTCCTGAAAGTGACTTAATATTTCATGCAACGAAAAGATTTTAATTCCTTTACACAACATTTTTAACAGGTGAGTAGAATAATCCTATTTTATGTAGTGTCGGGTTGTATAACATTAGCTACTTTGGTACGGATCAATAGTGACTTTGAATTACAATGTGAATGTATTGCAATGAGTTTATGAAGTTTATGGTACGTACGGCTATGATTGATTTCTTTGACAAGTTCTGTAAGATAACTATTTGTACTTCAACAATTATATATTCCCACACTCAGAGAGATAGGAACGAAGGAGTATCGAAGTTATGCATCTGATAATATGCACCAATAATATTGGTCATTAACTAAACTGTTCAAATTTTTCAAAAGAAATTAACCATGCATGGACTTATATATTCTGCCTGGAAATATATCGTGATGAGTCGCAATATTGAATTAGAGACGAAGCCAGTACTAAAAACATTCATATTTACTATTCATAGTGCTCTTAATGTACATTAATGTCAATTAATGCTAATAAATGAATGCATTGCACTGCTGGATATGCTTATAAATACCGAATTTGGCCACAGTGCTCGCTTCTTGTTTAGTTTTAAAGCGGTTTGTGCGGTGGAGAACGGCCCACCCAGATTTTCCGACACTTCATTTGTGTCGAACTTCATTTGTGTGGGTCCGCTGCACACCGCTATTCCTTATTCTAGCCGTGAAAGAGTAGAGCACTATGAAATAGGATACACATTTATTAATTAAAGCACTGATGGGTGACGTGCGTGGGTGGTTACAATTTCATCAGTTAGGATAAAACGCGGATACCGGACGGACATTCGACTTATGTTCTAGTTAAACGTCATTTACAGTCATATATCCACGTTTTATATCCAAAAGAATAAAACGCGGAAAGGATTCAAAAAACTTCTTCAAGCTTTTATAAGTCAAAAAACTTCTTCATGACTTTATCCGTTTTATAGACAAGGCTTTATCCGTTTTATGACTTTATCCGTTTTATGACTTTATCCGTTTGATACCCAAATTGTCAGAGTTATCATAATAGTTTAATATAATAAAGTTAATGTTTACATTAAAATGTGGATTAATTAAACGAATATTGTGCAATTTAACGGAAATTGCGAGGAAATTGAACGAATTGCCAGGGAAATGATAGAAAATATTAGCAATCCAACATTCAAGGCTTTCTAATTAGTAGCAAAATTGCTTTATAATAATTTATCAATTAGTCTGTAATTCTGAGTGAGAAAACGTCTAAGCGTAAACAACGAATGGAACATGCCAGGAATTTGGAAGGAAATTTTATAAAAAGGGATGAGAAAAGGAACTTGATTTTGAGCGAGCAGACGCGCTGCTTTAAATATTTTATACTAGATACTTACTCTAACCATAAACAATCCAGAAGACATGTCTTATGGATTGTCTAAGCTCTAACCAATAATGCGTAACAATTGTATGCGCAAACATTGAGTATTACACTGGAAGTTTTCTTCGTATAACTAGTTTCATATTAAGTTCTCTTTCTCGACAACCGGTTTCGCATTTCATTTCGATTCAATTTTTCTAATATAAAGAATTCTTTTGTAGAATTTCTAGCTTTAATATTATAATACCCAATAGTTTATTAGATTTTATATTATATTATATATTAGAGTTAATCAATATTAGTACGCATGTCGCACTCCTAACCATGAACTATATGGTACGTACTTTATTGTTTAGTTTACAGTACATTAGGTACTTATATGTAAATGTTTTCATATATGCCTGTTTGGTATTTGTTGTTATTGAAATATATTATTATTATTATAAATATCTCGGCGAGTATTTACCCCCCCCCCCTTTTAAATAACTGCCACCATTGAAATCCTCATAAAATAACCTTTCGAACGGGGGGGTCAAGTGCCGTCAAAACATTACACAAAGCGAAACAATCATATATTTACTCACCGCTTGGCCAAATACCCCTTGAACTTTTCGTCATTTGCGGAACGGCTATACGTGTAAAATACTCTCTGTATTCAAGCGCTTTCGTGTAGAAAATTTCGTATGTATACGCCGACTAGAAATATTTATTTTGAATTTTTCAAGATACCGGGTTTTACTCGCACTTGCGTACATTGCGCAATAATTGGCCAATAAGAAGCTCCTTTGGCCGGGATGACGTCAAACTCACGCGTGTAGGTGCAATTTGACCTTGCGAATCCATTTCTGGCCTTTCCAGGGTCATACGATACAAACGCCGCATTGTTTTGACGGTTTTGTTTTGGGATTAATTCACTTCGAGCTCACAGTCGGACAAGAAATGGAAATATATTGATAAAAGATACAGATTTGTAGATTCAGGGTTGCAAATAACACTCCAAAAACACTATTTAATGGGGATTCGAACAAGACTATTACAAAGACGATATGTTCGATGGGGCCGAAGTTATTTTCGGCGAAAGGTATGGCTAGTCTATAATAATCTGTCTTTTTGTTCAGACAATTGCGTAATTTGATACAATATGATCGTTTTGACTTTCAAAGGCCCATAAATCGTTACAATACTAATAATGATTATAACTATCGTTTGGAACTAGTTGATATTTTATTTCTGAATCGAATGGTGGTATTTCTGTCTTCATAGCATGCGCTGAACCGAAAGTATGAAATTTCGAGCCGTCGATCGCTCGCGATCGACGAAAATTGGGCCTGTTGAGAAAGAGTTTTAAGTTCTTTGTATGTTTGCATGGCGAAAAATATAATAGTTTTGTTTGTGGAAACACCACTTACTAAATTTACGTGGTGTTTCCACAAAGGAAACTATTAGTTGCTGCCGAGCGTAGCGAGGCAGCTCCCTATTCTTGACGTTACATGACGTTCTTGCTTTTTCGTGCCCAGTCCCCGGCCGAGTTATATTGGGGAAACATACTCAATCCATGTCAGTCCGTCAATCCATGTCAAATTTTTCGGAAATTGTCGTCAGCTCGAGCATTCGACGACTCTTTGTTTTTATTCGATTTTGATTCGATTTTATTTTGTATTCAGCTCGCATGATTGATTCTTCTCAGGATTTAATACAGTTTAATACGATGCAAAGGATCGACAATATCTTGAATAATTCATGGCGGATAGCTTTATTTCTTTCTGGTGATACTGTACATGAAGGCATTTATTTAGCAGTTGCTGTTTAGTGTTCGATATATAGGTATATTGAAACCAATATGATTTTATGAATTTGCAGTTCTAATAGCCCACTGATCGTCTTTATATTTATACAAGGAGTCAAAATGTTATTTTATTGTACATTTAGTATCTGAGATATGTCCATTGGTTAGCATTATATGTAATATACCGGCTTACATTCATGTATTGGCTTGCTCAGATTTCTACAATCTTAATCATTACAAATGAATGGTCATCTAAAGCTGACAAAAATGTCAACATTTTGTCAGATTTTGTCTTCTCATCAGCAGATTGTTCGGTTGTTCTGCAATAGGGGTAGCCTTGAAGGTACCATTAAAACAATAATCGCGTCGTATTCATGCGCGATTTAATTTCGCGCACCTTGTTCATATTCGCGCAGCTTTAAATTCGGGCAAGAAATTTTCCGTGTTCGTTCTTTTTGGTTTGCTCAATAGAACTATAATACTATACCACGCACATTTTCATTACCGCAACTACGATGCTCTTTGTAGTGATAGATTTCATTTTTCTTGCTAAGTAATTGTTTGTGATAACATTAAGTGATATTTGAGGATTCTTTGCACTGGTTTTATGACCAAATGACCTACTTATGGCGACAAAATTAAGAGACAAGTTATGCTTTGCATGGGCTGGCGATTTTGAATGCCTAAAGCGGTTTGTTAGCGAAGATCTGCAGCTCAATGGAACATGGTCTCAACCTGGCGGTGACAAAAAGCTATTTACCTTTGATGTTTCAGTAATAATATGGAAAAAGAATAAAAACTTGTTGTATCTTGATGGCGAGAAAGCGGGCGATGTTATGAAGGAATTATGCAAGCAGATATGTAAGCAGGACGAGGACATTTCAGTTGCTAAGCAATCAAGCATGCAAGATGTTTGTGAAGACCTCGAAAGTCTTAAGCTTGGCCAATTAACCAATTCCGAAGCGATCCAAGCTATATTGGAATCGATTTCTAACATAGGACCGGCAATTCGCCAATTTCAAGTGTTTATGGATAGAAATAAAAAGATTCCCGAAGATGAATTTCGGACTGAGTCAACAATTATAACGAACGAGTCTTTTGAATATGCAAATCGGGAAAACATCTGTAATGGTAACAAAGCTAAAGTATGCAGCCCTATTGTCTCGAATGAACTGATTAATCCTACCGAGAACAATGGATGTGATCATACAATACCTAATGAAAATGCCTCTACTTCATTTGAAAGAGTAGAACCTATAGAATTGTCGAACGATGTGTCTACTGCATCTCGTCCTATATCAACTAATGATTCAATTGGCGCTGAACAAACTAAAGTGGAAGGAGATCAGGTGACATATGCAAAAGTAGCAGCATCTTCTCCAGTCTCTAAAAATCGTAAATCTATGGCAATGCCTAAAATGAACAAAATACCCACATCTAGCCCCCAGAATTCACAACGTGAAATTGACGAGTTGTCTAGTGACCTCGATGGCTTTATTGGTGTCAAACGAAATAGAAGTAAAACCAAGAAATTTCTCGTAACAGGTATAGACGAGAATGTGAAAGAAAGCCAAATCTTATCTTTTCTTAATAAACGAAATATAATCCCGACTTATATTTCCATTTTCAAAAGTCGACGCAGGGGAACAATCTCATCTAAGATCCATGTTCCTTCGGCCGTCAGTTCCCTGCTTCAGGAAGATAATTTCTGGCCTAAATACATAAGTTGTAAGCCATGGAAATCGAAAGAAACACAAACTATGTGGTCAAAGAAAAGTAGCACCCATCTTGGGAAATATTCAACCTACGTATAATGGCTCATATTCCAGTTATAATCTCATCACGTAATTATAGATATAAACGAAATAG